CAGCAGGATGTTGACAAAAAATACAAAAATTATATCATTGCATCGTTGCTTGATTTGTGATCATGTCAGTAATGAGGTGAGAGTCTTCCTTGACAATTTTGTTGACTATTACAGTTCGTAGGCTGAGTGGAACCGAAAGCCTCAATCTAAGAGTTGTTATTGAACCGTTATTAATAAAAATCAAATGTATTAGGCCGGAATCAGACTACGCATTGAAGATTGAGGTTGAAGATTGAAATTTTACCAATAAGGACAAAGAAATTTTAGCTTCTTTCGTTTCGATTGGTCAAATTTGAATTTTTCAATCTTCAATCTCAATCTTCAATGCCTAGTCTGATTCCGTCCTTAGACTGACTCACGTCAAATGACAAAACCACGAATATGATGTAATTAAATATGCTGTTAGATCTTTTCGCTGTCAAAATTGGAGATAAAGTTGTGTTAATTTATACGTTACATGTAGATAATTGTTAAAGTATAAAATAGATAGTCACATAGTCTTGAACAATTAATTGTTACTACCATTTTGTATGTAATACGAAATCATACTAAGCGTTTGGTAATCGAGGCTAGCAACCAGGAAATAAATGACGTAAAGTAGATATTGTACATACATACTTATCGACTCTATCAAATATTAGGTTTATTTTGTTTAAAAATGAATGTATGATAAACCTTGACAATAATTAAAGCAGTGCGTTTCACTTGATGCTAATAACACTCTTGGAATCATTTCATTCTTTTTGTTATCAAATATCAAACAAAAACAAATGATTATCCTGAGCATCAAGTGGAACACGTCCTTAGAAATATAAGTCAACTTGGTACAGCATTTAAAAAATTAATTATATAAATAATAAATAGTTTATTTACTTATATAATATAATGTCTGTAAATATGTGAAATAAACATTTTATTTATGTCTTTTTCAGTTATGGCTGCCTGTGCTATCGCTAATATAGTTAAAAGTTCTTTGGGTCCGGTTGGCTTAGATAAAATGCTGGTTGATGACATTGGTGTATGTATTTAGCTTCTATATTTTTTAAAATATATTAAATATAAATAATAATCTCATTTTCAGACCGTATATGTGAGAAACACGATCGATAAATTAGAGCCCTATATCGGTCGAAACTAGATCTTAAATGCCTAAATCAATCTTGAATCAGTAAATATTATATATATGTACTTGACATATGTACGATACGATCGATATACGGCTCTAATTTATTGATTGTGTTTCTTACATATACGGTCTAAAAATGAGATTATTACTGTTTATTCGTTGCCCGAAAAAGACGTCGTTTCCTTACATATACCGATTATTGCGAAGAATATTACAAAGGCCTCGGTAGTCTAATGGCTCAGGATGCTCGTACGGAATATAAGAGATCCGGGTTCGACTCCCGGCCGAGGTAATATTTTTCGCAATAAATTTAATTACAGTTTTTTCAGCATATTAACATCTTTGAAATATGATGCCTATTTGAGCATCGAAATTATTAGAATTTAATTTAATTCGTGAAAATTACTACAGTGGTTTAATTGCGTTTAGTCCGGAACTATTTCGGCGCGCAGTTCGTTAGACTATAAGTGTGGTATATATGTCAAGTACATATATACATATATATATCATATTTAGTGATTCAAGATTGAATTATTTAAGCATTTAAGATCTAGCTTCGACCGATATAGAGCTCTAATTTATCGATTAAATATAAAGATTTGAAACAAATATGTTAATTACGACATTATTATGTTAATTGATATTTTCAGGATGTCACTGTTACCAATGATGGCGCAACTATTTTACGCTTGTTAGAAGTTGAACATCCAGCTGCACGGGTTCTAGTTGAATTAGCTCAGTTACAAGATGAGGAGGTTGGAGATGGTACTACTTCAGTAGTAAGTGATTCATTTATATTTGTGTATTTAATGGAAAATTTATAATTGAATATATATTTAATATAAAATGTGTTATTTTATATATTTAAAGGTCATAGTAGCAGCTGAGCTTTTAAAAAATGCAGATGAACTTGTGAAACAGAAGATACATCCAACTTCAGTCATCAGTGGCTACAGACTTGCTTGCAAGTAAATATCCTACTTTATTTTTATTTACCCTTTTATTTTTATATATGATTTTATTTTTGATATAAAATTAATTGATTAATGTTAATTAACTAAATTATTAACAAAAGAATATTGGATATTTATCAAGAGGAAAAAAGAAATTATAGTTTATACAACTTTTTTTTACACATGAAATCAATTTCAGAGAAGCATGCAAATACATTCAAGAACACCTTACTGTCAGTGTGGACGAACTTGGAAGGGATTGCTTAGTTAGTGTTGCAAAAACATCTATGTCAAGCAAAATTATTGGAGCGTATCCTTTTGATGTTATTTACAGTCCTTGTTTGCAATTTGTTTTCGATATTTGGTAAAAACAATAATTTAAAATATTTTCTGTAACTAATAATTAGTGATGCCAATTTCTTTGGTAATATGGTAGTCGACGCCGCTAACGCAATAAAAATTAACGATGGCAAAGGAGGATTTTTATATCCTGTTAAAGCAGTCAATGTTTTGAAAGCACACGGAAAAAGTGTTCGAGAGTCGATTTTGGTTCAAGGATATGCTTTGAACTGCACCGTCGCCTCTCAAGCAATGCCGAAGAGGATAACAAATGCGAAAATTGCATGTCTAGACTTTTCGTTGCAGAAAGCAAAAATGAAGTTGGGCGTCGAAGTACTTATTACAGATCCGGAGAAACTTGAAGCCGTTCGTCAACGTGAGGCAGATATTACCAAGGAACGTATTCAGAAGATTCTTGCTGCTGGAACTAATGTCGTTCTTTTGTCTGGTGGCATTGACGATTTATGCTTAAAGGTATAGTCATATTTTAAGTGATAAATTTTAGAATTGAGTGCAATATATTTATCTTGATCTTTCCATAGTATTTTGTGGAGACTAAGACCATGGCAGTGCGCAGATGCAAAAAAGCTGATCTAAAAAGAATCGCTAAAGCTACAGGCGCGCAATTTCTAACTTCACTGACCAACATGGAAGGAGAGGAGAGTTTCGATGTCAGTTTCTTGGGGGAGGCTGCCGAAGTAGTGCAAGAGATGATATGTGATGACGAGCTTATTTTGATCAAAGGGTACATATTTTACTACTAATATAGTGCAATTAATTAATTCTTTAATTCTACAATTCAAGTCAGGCATTGATCTTCTTTGAGTTTCATAGTACTACGAAAATAACAATAAAAGCATGATTATTTAGCCTTCTTTTTTATTTCAAGGCCAAAGACACGCACAGCGAGCTCTATTATTTTACGCGGACCAAACGATTATTACTGTGACGAAATGGAACGTTCCATACATGACGCATTATGCGTTGTCAAGAGAGTCTTGGAAAGCAAAAGCGTTGTAGCAGGAGGAGGTTGCGTGGAGGCTGCACTCTCAATATATTTAGAAAACTTCGCAACATCATTGGTATCATTAAATTCTGAATTTTTTCCGATTAGTTTCTTTTACTTTCATAAGATATTTATACATTTTTATATTACAGAGCTCTCGAGAACAATTGGCTATAGCGGAATTTGCTCGATCTTTATTAATTATACCAAAAACATTAGCCGTAAACGCTGCACAAGATGCAACCGATCTTGTCGCCAAGCTCCGAGCCTATCATAATTCCAGTATAACAAAACCAGATCTTGTTGACTTGAAGTGGTAAGTTTGTCTTTTTTTTTTAGTTTGTCATACAAAATAAGATTAAAATGAATTATATTTATATTTTTGTAGGGTGGGTCTTGATTTACTCATGGGAAGTATAAGAGATAACAAAAAAGCAGGCGTGTTAGAACCAGCCATTTCAAAAATTAAATCTTTGAAATTTGCCACTGAAGCAGCCATAACCATCCTTCGAATCGATGATATGATTAAACTAGATCCCGAGCGTTCGAAAACTAAATCTTATCAAGACGCCATGGAAGCCGGTGAATTGGAAGATTAATATCAAAATGCATTTACATATTATGTTGAATACAATGCGTTTATACGAAAGAAATATAAAAGATTTGTAAATGTTTCATTGCGTATATAAATATCACATGATAATAAAGATTTAAAATCTTGCTGCTCGTATGTTGCATGTAGACAATTTCAGTTTGCGCACGTATAAAATGCTGATAAAGGATAAAAATAAAGCTATTTCATAATATAATATTATACTTATTTGATTACTACCATAACAAAATATGACATTTTTGCGCTAAGAAGAATATGTAGTAAAAATGTTTAATTTTATATTTATTACTAAAAACTAGGATATTTTTAAACTTACATTTCTTTGAGTTATATGAATAAACTTTTATGTTTAAGAAAATTTTGTAATTAATAACCATAATATTTACAGTATAGTGAAAATGTATCTCATACTGTCTATATGCTAATTATACCAATCTTATTCAAAGGTCTGTGTAATTTAACAATCAGTACGACTTAAATAATATGACTTAAAGCATATGTATTACGCTCGTATATTATAAATTCATTTCAGATAAAAATTAAAATATATAAATATATAATAATATGTAATATACTTTTATATAAATAATAAATATTAAATTTGTGTTACTTTTCATAAAATTACGTTTATAAATCCCACATGTAATAAAAAAAACGTGAATAATTTGTTATAAAATATTTAAAGTAATAAGTTTTAAGTTTAGATGACATTGGGTGTTTTCCAGCAAAGAACAATGAATCATTTCATTCTTGTTTAATGTTGACAAACAACAGGGATATAATGATTCATTATGTTACATTCTGTCCTTGCTGGAAAACACCTATTTTCCAGCATCACGCATGTGTAAAAAACAAAAATAATTATAAAGAAACGCTTTTATTAACTTATCATAAATTATTATCTGACATATGTATCTAACAGTTCATTAATGGAAAATAATGGAGAATAACAGTTTTAAGTATTATATGATATGTATGTTTAATAGGTTCAATATCGTTTATAAACGAAGTTACATATAAACGATATTTATTTTCTTAATAAACATGATACGTTAAATAGATATTATTTACAATATATTTGTTACATCATGGTAGTTAATTAATTTTAAACTTAATGACACATTACGAAATCATTTTTTACAATCATACTTTAATGATTTTTGTCTTGATTACATACTTATTTACAATGTAAACTTATCATCTTATTGCCAAATTTTACAAATGTTTAGTTTGCTAAAATAGTTTGTTTTTTTTTTAACATTCTTGTACATCATAAGATAGACATACAACCATAAATTATCCAATAATTTTCTTTAATAATGTAGTACACATACTACTTTCTTTCCGAAAATAGTTCGCATTATGTTAATATTTTATTGAGTTATCCACTTGGTATCTTCTTATTAAATTTTTAAACATATTTGAAAAAAGATACAAACAATAGATATGATAATAGCAATTTTCGTAATCAGTATGATTTCAAATGATATAAATAAAATATTATAAAAAAAAGTTTAAAAAGTTCGATCGCTTTTTGAGTCTTTGCTCTTTCATACATATGTGAGTAGAAAATATATTCTTCCTGATAATACATAAAATTATTATTCACAAATACTTAAATTGACTTTTCCATTAATAACTGCTTGAATTATAAATAAATATAAGTACTATAAATAAATTCCCGAAAAAATTAGTTCCTGAATATTATATATTGAAAATCTAGAAATATCTAATTACATTAATATTGTATTAAATATTTTTAAATAAAAATTGATATATAATTATATCAAAATTTATATATGTTAATGTCAAGAGTATACCTGTTTTGGACCTTTGCAATGTATAGATTTAAGTTATTGATATATATGTTGTAAAATATTCTTTAGTTATTTACTATGTTTATATACAAACCCTGTTCGGATTGATGAATAATGTAAGACAATCAATTTCTGAATACAAAATTTAATATGATTAAGAATTTATTTAAATAAAAAGCAGTCAATATGGTGTGTGTGTGTGTGTGTGTGTGTACGATAGGTATATGTATGGAAAACGGAATGCAATACAATTAAAGTGATTAATATTCACAATAACTAATATTCATTATGCATCTTTCCAAGACAGGGGATAAAAAAATAAATAATAATCAGATATTTCCTCATTTCTCATAAACCATTCTGTGTTTAAAATCAACGAATCTTTTCAATTTAAGATAATTTCGGATTAAGATTAATTAGGATTTATTCATGAAAAATGTGAATGTTATTTTGATATTGTATGTATAAAGATAGATGTTAACGTTCTTCTTCATCGAGAAAGATCGCGAAGTTTTACAATTGAGAGTCTTTACAATGCAGGATTTTCAAATTTTGGTCCTTTTGTGACTATAATCTCAGCATATGAATATTCTTGATTGAGTTCTAATACTTGGAACTTTTTCAAGACTAATAGTGTATAAAACTTTTGTGCAACCTGTAAAGACAGAATTATTTTTTTTTAAATATCACAGAGAAATAAATATATTGGTTGCGTTCAGCAGAAAAAGCAGCTTTAGAATAGTTGTAAGATTTGCAATATGGTTGGTTTATACATTTATATCAGGGCTCTCTAATTTTATTCCGTTTTTCGAATATACGTGTAAACGTAAAACGTTTATCCGTTTATATTCGCTTTCAAAAAACCGTTTACTTGAAGGTAAACGTTTACACGTTTAATTAACATATCCGTTTATAAAAGAAACATTTTTCCGAATATACGTGTTTTATTATACATTTAAACGAAAATACATTTACATGTATATTTAACATATCCATCTATGAAAAACATTTTTTCGAATATTTTAACGTTTTTTAATAAAATTAAAAATCGAATTTTTTGCATTTTCTCAATTCGTCACACTCCTTAATAAAGAGATAAACGTTTATATAAAAAAATGAAAATATTCGGAAAAACGATTCTAATAAACGGATATGCTAATTATACGTGTAAACGTGTTTTCGTTTAAACGTATAATAGTTAATTACACGTATATTCGGAAAAACGTTTCTAATAAACGGATATACTAATTATACGTGTAAACGTATTTTCGTTTAAACGTATAATAGCGAGCCCTAATTTATATTCAATGAGAGACTAAAGCTGGAAATACAATGGGCCCAAGTAATAGGCACAGGTAACAGGAAATAACGAGTCGCCTCTCTCTCTCTTCTCTCTCTCTAATCAGAAGTCTGAGATATAATAACAAACTTATACCCCAGTGCTCTGATTGGATGGCTCGTTATTCCCTATTGTCTGTGCCTATTGTGTTTCCAACTTAAGAGTAAAACTAAGACTAATTATATTAAAAAATTTGACAACAGTTGCAAAACTTTTTCTGCTAAACGCAGCCATAGGATATAGTTTTCCAAAAGACTAACCTGTTTGCGATTATTTTTAAATGCCATCTCCGATAGTGTTAATTTATCTTTGGTATCGAGTTTACTTTTAATAACATGATACATATGCGCCGCTCTCTTGTTAAGAACGCGTTCTTCAAACTGTTCATAAGTTTCGTCCATTTGTTGTTCCTCTTGCTGAAAAACAATATTATAAACAATTAATTAATGTTCTTTATAAATTTTTTAAATTTTCCACTAAAACTTAATAAAACTAATAGGTACATGTACAAAATAAAAACTTTATATTATTTATATAAATACATAATAAAATAATCTTTTGAACAATATTAAAGTATATTACAGGTCCCACGGATGGCGGAAACTCGTAATCCTCGTGATTCCACGGCGTGGCGGGTCCTCTTTCGGAAATCGCACCAGGCGTATGTGCTGGAGGATGTTGCTCGTCATAACCCATATAGGAAACTTGGGGTTGTGCCTATTGAAAAGTGTAGAATTAATAAAGGTTTCTATATTAAATGTACAAGCGCTCTCTAGATTTATAAGGAAACATTGATTGCAAGGCAAGGACGTATAGTTTTTTAAATGCATTCATATCATAAAATGAAAATTTCTCTATTTACTTGGTCGTAACCCATGTTTTCCATCTGCGGCATATCGGATGTTTGTACAGTGGCGGTTTCTTCCTGTGCCGATGTTGATGGTACTTGTTCTTCGTGTGTGCCAAGTATCGAGCTAACTTCAGCTGATGCGATTTGCGGTATTTCCGAACCGAGCAAAGGGGTTTCGGTTGTTGGTGGTACAATAACTGATGGTTCCCCAGAAGGCACAATACTGCTTATGTCGGAAACCGATGGTTCTACTGGTAAAGATACTTCGGGTAGCATAGGTGATTCTGAAGAAAGATTCTGTTGTGCAATGATGTTTGGAATTTCTGATTCATTTGGTTGATTTATCTCTACTGGAGTTGGTTGGGCTGGTTGAGGAGGTTGCCTTATCTAAACATAGTAATATTTACATTTATATTAATTATAATATTCCAATAAAATTGTCAACTTTTTTATTTTCTTTAAAGAAAAAAAATCTACCTTTTCCCCTTTTATTATCATTTTTATGACTAACCTCATCATCTTGCGGTGCTTTCCGTTTTCGTCCTGTACGTTTATTGAGGAGACTTTGTTCATAAGAAGCTACTTCTGCTTCTGGAGCATCTCTCATTTGTTCTAAGGACATTCCATCTTCCTCAGTTCCAAGTCGCCCAAAGTCTTCATGATCGTAAGACTTGCTGGTCAGATGTCTCTGATAATTCTGTTTAATAATAATTAAAATGAAATATTTATATTATATAAATTTTTAAAACTTGTTATTCAAGTAATCATAGAATGTTAAATATTATTATTACTTTAAATAGAACACGAGCCGGGATAGGTCTTCCTGGTAAAGCAAAGAGCTTCTCTACACCACCTGTTTCTTTCCAATGCATTAATCTTTTCGTAGGTGGTGCCAAGTCCAACGTCGTGATAATATCACTAGTATCAGATAGCTGCGCTTTCATTTCCTCACCAGAAATATTTTTTACTTCATCGACAATGAGTTTACGCTTGCGTTTGGCTTTCGTGAATCCTAGAAAAATCGATGACTTTTTGTTAGTTACAAGATACAAATATGTACGTCAATGTTAAAATAAAAAAAAATTTACCCTTTAAAGCAGATGCATCAATTGGAGCTAGCGCGAAGCTTTCTTCCTCATCGTGTAATAATGTGGTTTGATCTTGCATAGGTGGCGGTTCTTCTATA